AAAAAAAAAAAATGTACATTTTCTGAAGAAAAATGTTCTTATACCTTTAGAAAATTATATTTCAAAGAAAACTCGAAACACTGACAAAGGCCATTATAGTAATATGTTAAGTAAAAAGTTTTTTATCTTTTGTAATTTTGTTTTCATTTAGTGCTGTTATCGCTTCTCACTGGTTAAACTGAATAACGCTCTTTAAATAAATAAAATATGGCCCAAGGTTATAAGTGTTATGACTATCACAAGTACACGTTGAATATTCAATAGACATTGTTTAAACTTTTATGTTTTAAAATGTTAAAAATACAYAATGACAAAAATTAATAAATGTTCCGTTATTTCTCATCAATAAGATAACTCGGAATTTCAAAAATAATAAGGTACCTATCATGAACAAATTATTACATAAAACACAAAAATATATGTATTTAATTTTGTATTACTAATTATTATGTTAGATTAAGATTTAATTGAGTACTTTTTTTTCTTTTTTTTTTTTGTAAGGGGAACCCGTGGTATGGTAGGAGTTATTTTTGTGTATTTGTTTGTAGGTTTTTAAGTGGGTAGGGTTCAAGGGTTGTAACACGTGTTTGTATATGTGTGGCAAGGATATGTTGCTAAAAATCCCGGGTGGTCCCCCATCCGGTAGCTAGCAAGTGCGGCTGGTACGTATGGTCAGTGCATTTCCATTATTGCGCATTAAGCGTACGACCGCGCATCACCAAGCCATAATTTGGTACTTTACCTTAGTTTGACTTACATTATTATAATAGGTATTACTTTATTAAAGCTTTAAAATAATAAAATATATACGAAGTAGACTAAAAATATTTTTCGATGGAACTATTAACACAAAGCTTAATATTTAAAGATGTCAGAAATAAGTTCTAAAATAAATAATTCAAAGCACGTACCTATATGATTCTAATACAGGATTTTAGGTCAAAAGACAATAGGTCTAAACATTGATTGTACATACCTATTCTTATAAATATACGCATTATCAAGTATTAACACATCCCAATGTTATAATATATAATATATATATTTCAATTCTTTACAAATATATTGTTCTTTTATAATGAATCCATAACTAGYGATTTTTTTTCTCATGTGTCGACACATAACGATCATTTTTTATCATACCTTCTATGACACTTATATTATTTTAAAAATTATTTTTGAATGCGTAAACAATATTATACGAAATATTGAATATGATAACCTACGATTGCGTACTTTTAATAACCTTTAAGAAAGTATTTGACTTGTTTACTATAAATTATAAATTTTAAGTATTTWTATAGGTATTTAAGAATTTAAGTATCACTATTTCACTTTCATATTATTTTACGGTAGGTTTTTTTAAATGACTAAATACACGAATTCATACATATTACATTTTAATTCTATATTAATCATAAATTTGGTATTGTAAGTAGATATTAAAATAGGATCTTACAGATATAAGTTTTCTTGTATGTTTTCAAGTTTTCAATGTTATTTCTCATCATTTTTTTAATGGATATCTCGATGAATATTATTTTTATATAGTAGTTAATTTGCTAAAGTACTATTAGAAGATGAAAAAATAAATAAACGAAAATAAGAGATAAATTTCAAATATTCTTTAGGTTGATTTAAAGAGAAGCTCTATTGTTATATTCTAACATAATTTAAAAATCAGTCTCTTCTTTCGTTCGTTAATGCATTTTATAAATTATAGCATTTACATATAATTCACAAATAATACATATTTACCATATTGTACACGAGAAAATTTAATTTTAATATTATATTTTTACTAYATAATACGAGTATATTGTATTTATATTTAAAGATTATATATATTTGAAAATTTTAATCATTTTTATATTTTAAATTGATTAGTTAGAATGTATCAGGTTTGAATGACGTAAATGTACATTTAATATGAAAA